TGCAAATATTCTTTGGTAATTGCAAATACGTGGAGAAAATAGTTTAAGTGTGTGAGGAAACTGTGCAGAAACTTTGAGAACACAACGTAATGAAGAGGACAAGTGCACAGAAGCTGACTAAATGAAGTAAGAACTTTTGAACTATCAAAACAAATATCTTAATTACAATAAGCTGAAACTCAATGGTGTTATCACACTAAATGTAAAACCTTTGTCTCGAGACCCTGGAACCTGAGCTCTGCATGCTAGTCAACACTGTAACCTGGTATTTGCTTGCAGTATTAGTAAAGTTATTTGTGTGAGCCAGTTGTCCTTCAAATAGATCAAAATAAAAAAAAGACTTGTCGACAGGACTTCAAAATTAGATGCTCAAAATACCTAGTGCACGTCTACCTTTTGTAGGAATGGGATCAAAATGCAAGGCTATGTATATGTATATGTAAAACTGTGGCAGCTGTAGACAATATGTCACCTGTAGCTACAATATTTTTATGACACCAATTCAATGCTGTTAATAAGTCACACCCATCTTTAACTTTGGTGGGTGTTTCAAAATGCATATCTTTTTTTGTAGTATAATATACATTACATTTCCATATAAGAAACATTCTCTTTATAACTGCACGTAAAGCGGATTTGTAAGGCAACTTTCTTTGCACTTAAAGTCTAAAATGAATGTGATTAGCCATATCTGTATTTTCAGAATGCTGATGTATTTCTGGAAAGAAAAGTTCCAAAAAGTTTAATTTTCTTTAGTTCTTTAAATTTATAAATTACTTGTTGTTTGTACTTTTGTACAAACAATATGATAGATACTGTGGCCTTCAGCTCATTTGGATTAAAGACCAAAAATATCAGTATGATATAAGTCCACATGTGCACCAAGAGCAGTAGAGCTTATCAGCGATAATTGAGCATATGTATTTTATTACATATCAAATTAATTGGCTATATGTAAAGAGTTAGAACTTTTGTCAGCTTTCCAGTTTTCAGGAGCCATTACTCCTTACCCTAGTCTCATAGTTTCCAGACAAACCCTAGAACTTGCTTTTCCTGCTCTATTTTCAACAACCGAGTGAAGTCATGTTTTAACAGCGTCTCATTTCTCAGATATTTCCCTCACTTATAAATCGGAGGCCTCACCTGTAGGCTACTGTGCTCACTCTCACATGTATGAAGCAATGTGAAACCTTCATCTATTTGCTGAAACAGGGAACTTACTGTGCCACTAGAGTGCCTGCAGTGCTGCAGGTGTGAATGTCTGTGTCCTCTCCGTGCTGTGATTAATAACGATGCAATCTGGGGACTTCTTCCAACTTGAAGCGATGACAATAGCTTTGACAAGGCTCCCGCCAATCTGTCAGAGCCAAGAAAGAAAAAAACAAACAAAGAAAATGAGAAAAAATGTATTAGTGAGGCCAGAAAATTGAAGGGAACTTTGATTGATTTCAGATGTGCCTTTGTGATAATGGTTGACCACGACCTCAGCTCTTTGACAGTGCTTTTATGTGACTGTGGCCATTGGTACAGCCAGAATGCCAAACCACATGTGGGTGTGTCCACACAGACATGTAAGTTCACACACCTTATTAACACAATGTTTGTATTTGCATACAGTACCTCAGCATCATTGGTTTCAGAAATTCAGAAAAGTAAAGTTTTGTAATTGTGGAACATTATTGATAAAGACTGTTTTGCTAGAAAACGCCCCTTAATAACCTTATTGTTATATAACTGGCTCCATATCATTACTCTGGTAATAACCTTTCCTACAAAATTAATTGTTTTAACAAACTAATAAAGCTTGGTTCAATAATTGATTGACTGGTTAACTGATTATAGAAATAACCACAGCAGGTTACATGAGTTAATAAAACCGGCTGCACCCATTTCACGAGGTGCGTCAGTGCACGAGTAATTATAAACCCATTAATTATTGTAAAATGGGACATTTGACATGGGTGTTAAAATATTAAGTGCTTAAAGTAGGTTATGACGATCACTGTAATTTGGAACACCTTAAATAAACTGCACCATATTTGGTCGATCAGACACAATTATTAAATCAACATCTGAGAAAAAGAGATGTTGCATAATCCAGACAGGAGCTCTTTACAAGTTGGTGTTAGCCACCTTTTTTCATTCTGCCTTCACATTGACAACTACTGTGGTATTGATGTATCCTGTCCTGTGACTTAGCATTGGTTTAATTGTCCCAGGCAAATCGCAGGACAATTTAGAAGCATTTAAGCATTTAAAAAAGCTTGATTGTTACTTACGTACAATGACTGATGGCATTTCTATTACATTCCTTTAGGCTGTGGACTAATTTGGAAAAAGGAAAACAGACAATTCTTTCTTTTCTTTTTTTTAAGGTAGTTCTTTGTTGTAATAGTTAGCTTTTTTATTATTATTATTCCTGCACCTGTTACTTATCCCATCAGTACAAATGCACCACTTTCTCTTTTAAATCAGTATTAGGAAGTAGCTGTTGTGCAGAATTACCAGTATTTACTTATGTTTGCAACAACAAGAAATTTTTTTGTTTAACTGAAATGTTATCTAAAAAAAAGTAACGAAATGCTTTTGTCTTTTAGAAAATATCCAAGTATTACGTATGGTGAACTAGTAATATCTAATACAAGAAGTAGGCTCCTGTTTCAGTATCATCACAGTGGCCTAGTTATACCCATTCACCTCAAATGCTCACATGAATCTGCACTGACCTCACAGAAGGAATTTTACACTTTACTTATGCATGTTTACAGCATTCATTCCTGAACTGATCATCAGTGTCAGCGTTACGTTACATGAGCTCCAGTGTTACAATTGTGGTAAATAGGTTTACGCTTCACACCCACTTTATATTATTCATACATTGTGACAGTGAATTGATTATGTATGGCTATAATGACTGACGTTAATATGTGAAGACACAATTGTTTATACATGAATAGCTAACAGTGATGTAAATAAAATGTACAAAACGCAGAATTTCATGGTGACAGATGACGTTAATCAGTCTCTTGGATTTCTTAAAAACCATGTACATCCACTTGAGAACCTTTTGCATTGGTACACAAGGGTAAGTCACCATCATGGAAAATCTTAACCCCAATAAATTCTAAATCTGTTCAACTTGTGCTCTATATCCAAAATGAGAATATTTTATTTTAAAATATTATAGTAAGTGATTTTAGTAAAGAAAATGTGTTTTGTGCTAAAACAATTAGATTTAGAGCTCAGGAAAATGCCCCTATGTCTTAAAATATGTGCTGCCATTTAGTAATACATTATTTAATGAAAATAAAGATCATATGCAGTGCCACAGAGTCAATTATTTTCAGTGATTTGTCCAAGTCTAACATTTAACAAATGATTTAGAGTAACGTAATATTTGAAAACAGTCTTAGTTTTAAATACTACAAAATGAGGGCTTGCATTAGTGTTTTATCATTGCATGCATGTAATATCAACATTTGTTTTAATTCAATTTAAATCCGTTTCTTATCAGGATTGCTATACGCTGCACACACCAAACAGACGATTAAATGCAAATTACTTGTGTTGCAGCTGATTATGCAATTTAGTTAGGAAAAAAGCATACACTCATTTAAAAAACATTTTTACAGCTTTAAAACAATTTCTACTGAGTGCAATTATTTATTATTATTTTCACTTGCTGTTGTGTTGCTGTGCACTTGCTGTAGTGCTGTTGTGCTCAACATTCTCAACATTCAATACAGTACTTAATGTGATATTGAGGGAAACTATAATAACTTTGAGCACCAAGTTTACAATTGTTCCATCTTTCATTCCTTCTCTCGCTTCCACACTCATTCCTTAAACTCTGCCTCAAGTACATCTTTTAGGTGAAACTACTACTTGCCGCTGCGAAAAGTATGGTTTCAAGATCAATTATGTTATTATAGCTTGTTATAATGCGATTACAACGCACGGTGTGGGTGATTGTCCCTTTAAGAAGCAGTGAGAGTGAGAGACATGGAGGTGGTGCGGTTTCACACCCTGGGGTGGGAAAGAGGGGCGGGGCTTTAAGCCAATGAGTGACAGCCGCTCGCGGACCTCACCAACTCCCTACGGCCCCAAGCGTCCCTACGCTGGTTGGAACATACATTTGCCACTCAAACCATTGCAGCCAATGATAGTCAGCCGCTGGAATCGCATTTGGAATCGCTGTTGTGCATCCAACGTGGGGTCTACGGGGCAATCCATCGCCAGGGAGGAAAAAAGGAAAAGTAAAGGAGAAACTCTACAGTGGTGGTGGTGGTGAACGGTCGAAAGGAGGAGACGGACGATTCTCTTATAGTCTGAGTTTTTGTGAAACCACAGACTACACCTGATTAGACGCTGTTTAAGTTTCCCTTTCCACAGGATTCGAAGTTATTGGATTTACTCCGCTGAAGCAAAGGCGACCGAAGTACTGTTGAGATTTTGTTGTACTGATATCCACAGCAGTGTGGTTGTTTTTGCTACACTTTGGAGTATTTTGCCAATTTTAATACAACTTTATATTTTCCGGTGGACATCTTTACGGACAGTTGGGTGAAGTTTCAAAACTGTTTTCGCTGCTTGGGAACAGAACTGTCCTCACCACTGTTCTTATGCCACCAAACGCCGTACCACCTTTGTAAAAATTAAATTTAAGATATCTGGAAATGTAAAAGTGACTTCGATTTATGTTTTGAGCGACATAAAGTTAATTCTAGGGAAGCGGGCTGTGATTTCATTCTACTATTCCCTGTATCGGACACCGGAGGAGAAAGTCGCCCCGTGTTTGGAGATGACTTTCTTAAATGACTGATTGGGATGGGAAACATTTCAGGTTAGCGTCTGTGATCATGTTTTTTACAAGTCCTTACGTGCTTTCCTGAAGAGTCACACAGTCTCTAAAACGGGTCGTTGATATCCCAGCATTGGTGGGAGCGAGGAGAAGGGAGCTCCGTGTCCGCGCTGCCTGTAGCGCAGAAGCTGGATACAAAATGGCGGCGTCCCTGGGACGACTTGGATACGTTTCTTATCTCGTTTTTTATTTAATTCTGACAGTAGAACTTTTGAGTGGACACGATACATTAGCTTCGGAGCTGCCGTGCGCCCAAAACTGTACCTGTATTGGGGACTCGGTGGACTGTAGCGGCCTCGAGCTGACAGCGACGCCTCCGGACCTGCCTGCCCGGACTGTTTCCTTGTAAGTAAAGCGCTGAGTGAGTCGGTGGTGCCCTCCGAGCCTATTTATTGACCTATGACCATAACCGGATGTGGGGTGATAGAATTGTAAAGAACAGATAAGTGCAGAGAACTTTTTAAAACTTTAATTTATTTATATAATTCTTTATTTTTAACCACAAAGTTAAAAGGAGTACTGGAAAACTGAGATGGATCACGAATGGACAAGATTCAGATGTTAATGATTTCATTTGTATTTATTGCCACATCAGGTGACGAATTCTGGAAAATTAGTCACTATTATTGTGATTTAGTATTATTGCGAATTACACAGGGATTCCGTATTCTCATTCATTGTTAGCACATAAACCGAGGACAAAATCAACGAAAACTCTAAAACACACACCATGAAATTGGAAACAACCAAACGAAAATCGAAAAGTGGGTCACAAGGTATAGGTTAATAGGTCAATGACTTGGAGTAAAAAGTGTTTTTCATGAGCAATGAATGCTTTGTAAACAAATCTTTAAATGTTGTGTACAAGCTGATTATACCCCCGGGAGAGAAGGTTATGGATGGAAAATGAACCAATAAAATGTGCATATGTAGATTAGATTAAACTTGATAAACCCCACACTAGGAATGACAAAAAGTGCAAGATTTATCACAAGATCACATGACTTAAAAGCTGACTAAACTGCTGTTTAAAAAAATGGTGGAAATTGTGGATGACTGCATGTGCCTATATGCTGATGAGAAAGCAAACTTGTTTTTTTGGCATATTCCAAAGATGAATGACAAAGGCAGTAACTTAAATCACCTTTGCATGAGGTCACGGATTCACAAAGTCCCATCATATATTCATTTTAATAATTGAACCAGACTCATTATTTATGCAACCTTCATACTTATCACAAAATAATTGGTTCCAACAGTCTCTTAACAGTCTCAGACATATGAACATCTTCCTTCAGTGCTTACTGCAAAAAATAGTTTTTTTAAGTGTGCACGAAATTCACTATGTTGCACTTTATTGTATCGTTTTGTTTGTTACTAGAAATAATGACCTATAAGCCCATGTGATGTTAGTTGATACAGTACACACAGACAAACACATGAACACATAAACCTCTGCTTCATTCACGTTTCACATTTTTGCTCAGTTGGGAGTATGGAAAATAATTTTGAAATAAACAGTTTATGTCAGGCTGGCATTTAAACTTTGTCTTCATTTAGAAAATGACTCAGTTTGGAATATATCTTAATACAGAGTAATAAATCCTACTAAATGATCCAAATTAAACAACTGATGAACAAACAACAGTCCTGTGTTTGCTCTCAGTTTTTCCTCCGCTGCAGCCACATTGCACACACTGTGCCCAGTGAAAGCACACAGTCTATTGTAAGGGTGTAAGAAAATATCAATATGATATTTCCTTTCATGATACTGTATTGATAATCTACAGCACTGTATCATTTTTTTAAATGAACCATTAACATGCAAATATTCATGCTGTTGGATCATTTTATTTTGGTTGTATTCGTTCTCTAAATCCCTCTGTTCCAATTTTAGTAATCTGATGTTAAGAGCATTGTGTTTTTATTGCGCTGACAGTTTTTCTACAATTCGGTTGCTTAGAAAAATTCATTCTCATGCCTATATTATCGCAGTATATTGCAATATATCGTATTTTAGCCCCTGTATTGTGATACGTATCGTAATAGCAGATTCTTGCCAAAACACACCCCTAACGTTAAGGTATCAGCTTTTATGTGTAAAGCTGGGAATGTAGGCAAATGACTTGCTTGCTTCCAGATTCCACACTTCCAACTCCTTTTTTTCATACTATGCATAGAAATACACATACACAGACACACTGTGCTTTTATTATCCATTTGGAGGGCTGACAACTATTGTGGGGACGGCTGTCCCAGCTGAGACAGCTGCTCCAAAGCTTTTGGTTTGTGTAGCAATAGGATCTTGCATGAGTTCTATCTGCTTCTCTACAGACCTACTTCTTTTATCTTTGCCTAACCTAACCTTATCGGTTGAGATTTAAGGAACCGCAATCTTGTTGTTTTCAAAGGGAATGGCTTTATGGCTTTGAATTATCTTTTGAAACACCTTAGTTGCATATTTCCACACCACTTGAGATAGTCACATTATACAGGCTGCTAAATCAAAAGGAACCTGCTTCCATTCCCTCGGAGGTCTGGAAACAAGCCAAATCAGTAGATGATTACTGTGAACCCAAAAGGCATTTTCACATGTGGCCCATTGTGATACTTTTTCTGTCACTTGTGGTAACACTTGTCCACTTGTGGACACAGCAATAATTATGAATATGTGGTGGTGCTTGTGTGCTTGAAACTCCTAGTGCAAAGATGTTCTTTTTGAACAAAAAAAAGTTATAACTATTATTAAGGCAACGCTGACTTAGAGTGTCAGCATTTGAATTTAAAGTGTTTGGCCACCTACACCTCCAGGAATCTGAGCCAAGTGAAATCAGTGTGGAGTCAACTGTCTCTGTTATATTTACCCCAGGGAAGGAGCAGCAGCAACAGCAGCACTGGTGGTGATAGGGAAGAGAGAATAATGTGTGTTCATTGAATGCAAAACACCCAGGACAGTTTACAAGTCTCCAAACTAATGATGCAAGGTTTGGGAGAAAATGTCAAATATCTGAAACAACTGTAGAGTTTAATATAATTAACTAATACATATTTGATTGTAGTTGCCAATTGAAGTCATTCAGTCATACCTGTGCGCATGTGGGACACATATGGTGTGTTTAACAAAGATACAGCCCATTGCTGACAATTTTTTACCAACCACTAAGTAAAATACACAGTCAATTGAAGAAAATATATTAAAAATATATTGTTAAATGCTGTACTAAATTTTAAATGCAAAGCTTTGGTTCAAAACTGTGTTGTTTTTGTTATTTCTATCCTGAGAAAATTCATAGCTAGAGGGTAGTTTTTGAAACTTATCCATCACAAAGTGTCCTGTAGCTTCTGGTTAAGGAAGAAAGTGTACTCCCACTTGTCAAAATACTCGACTCTTGCGATGATGTTTAAATTCGGTCCCCTGTTTAAATTCGGCTTTGGTGAGAATCAGAGTAATTGTGACACTGGAATATCCGTGCAGGGCAAACAGAGTTGAAAAGCCACATGGTGAAGGGAAGTATTGAAGATGTGGCAAAGGTAAAGCTAAGGATTCACCATTTGGACTAATATTCTGTAGGAAGGACATTCATCTTGCACTAAACCTGACTCAGTTATGGGTAAAATGGCTCACACCGACCTAATGTGTTGGGTTGAAAGGATAATATAAAGTCCCAAAAATCATGTCACTTCCTGTGCTGTTTCATATTAGTGCTTATAATGTATTAAAAAAACTGACCACCAGCCTCGGATGTTTCGCCATTGTTTCTGATTGATGAGTGCCCTGATGACATTCAAAGCAAGTTTGCTCTCACATAGTCACAATATTGCCTTATGGGAGTGGTGCCTTATCTTATTTGCAGCCACTGTAATGTGTATAAAAAGCACTATTGGCCACAGTGGCACTGGTATAATGGGGTTTTGCAATTATATAAAAGCACAAGCATTACTGATTTATGCTGCGATTGCTGTGGCTGGAGATAAAGCAGACACATGGCGCCGTTTGTGCCCCAAATGTTTGTCATGTTTGAGTGTGAACTCCTATCTGATGTTCTTTTACTCTTAGAGAAGGCCGCTGTTTTTTTTTAATAGAATTAGTCTTTTTCATGTGTCAAAGTAGAGTCTGTCTCCAGGATGATGGCCTACTTGCAGAAGCTGTGGGGATAGTCAAATGGAAGCCTGATGTTGATTGATCGCCTCGTAACCTAGCATTTCCCTAGTGGTTTCCCAAAGTTTCCTAATGTGCTGGCCATAATGTATGGTCTACACAAAAACTTCTGCTGTGAGTCAATCCCAAGCCATAGCTGTAAACCTCGCGGTGGATCATTATTGGTAAACACTACCCCCAACAGTTGGTTTTGGCTTCTGCCCACAGGAAATGGGTTTGTGTTGGTGGTTTTCTGACAGGGGCTCAGAGCTTAGCTGGCTGGTTGTGAACTGGTCAGGACAGGATGGGGATGCAGATCACCTGGCCTGAGGCAACTGAATAATGTTGTGTGCAAGTGTTGTCAAATTCATGGTTGGTCATCTGCTGTGGCTTCATTTAAATTAGAGGATTAGATGGTTGTGTTGCTTGTGAGAATCCAGCTATGTGCTTTATGTCGTTGTTTATGATAGAATCAAAGGGCACTTGTTGCTATATATATATATATATTTACTTAATACAGCAATATCCTTAAAAAAGATTCCCTATGACTGCAATACAACAGCAGCAGCAGCACTCAGCAGGGTTGAACCCCTTGTGGTTTCCAGGACATTTCTCACTACGGAGCCTTGTAATCTTGTGGTATTGGTAGTGTTTTAACCAAGTTTGTTTATTGTCACTGTTTCTCTGTCCTTGTAAATTGCATGTTCCTGACGGATATTTTACAAGTCACAACTCTTTAAACTGGAAGGCGTATAAAATCACGTTTTAACAGGTTTTGATTAACTTTAATCAGCTGCTTGTTTCCTTTTGGTATACCTCACTACTGTGTTGTACTTTGTAGTAGCAATTTAGCAAGTCATATACAATTAATTAAAAAAGAAACATCAATTTTGAGGGCTAACTTTCTGTTGCATTAATAGATACACTCTGAGGCCTCACAGTGAATATGATGACAATCAAACAGCTGCTGCCACAAGTCATCCTGCAGGAATCCAGTCAGTGGAATGGATGTTCCTTTTGTGAAGATATGTGAGAGTGCCAAGTTTTTTTTCCTCCTTTTTCTCTTTCCTAAAGTCAGTGTCTACGAACTGGGCTTGATCGATGAATCATCTGTGAATTCTCTACATCTGGTAAGAGTTTGGAAATCTGGAGAAGATGTTAGAGAAAAAAAGCGTGACTTGGACAGAGTGAAAAGTACTAAGCTAGT